CTCGTCGCCGATGACCTCAATTTGTTGTGGTCCTTGCTCTGGCGGCGGTGCTTCATCAGTAGGTTCTGGTAGGTCCACTGCTCCTTCGAAGAACTCGTAAGTTGCTTCTTCTTCTTACTCTTCTTGCACGTGCTCTGGTGTCAGGAGCATACTGGTCCGGGAGAGGAGGTCCGCCCCAGCTGGTGCCGCGTGTTGCCTAGTATGGGTCGATTTCGGCGACAGGTTCGGGGGGAAGGCCCGGAGCTTCTGGGTAACCCCATTCGTTGGGAGCGTTGGAGGTTCCCCAGCCTCCTTCGCTAGTAGCGCCCATCGGCACTGATCCCCATCCTCCTTCTTCTTCCGCTTCTGTTACGGCGGCCTTTGCGTCCCCTCCGATGGTCCCTTCTGCTGCTTCTTCGATTCCTTCTGCTGCTTCTTCTGATGCTTGGAAGGCACCCCAGCCGCCTCTGGGTGTTTTTTGGGTTGGTTCAATGACTCCCCACGGCCCGGTCGTAGGAGTAGGAGTTCCCCAGCCGGTTCCTGCTGCTGGAGTTGTTCCCCATCCTCCGGTGTCAGTTTCTGCAGTTGCTGACCCACCGTTGTTGTCGTCTTCCTCCATTGTTGCAGGTCCGGTGTCGCCTTGATTGGAGGTTGAAGCGGTTGGGAGGGCGCGCAAGCGGAGGAGTCCATCCGAGGCAGGACGCTCGAGGTCCATCTCATCAGGGTGTGACCAAGTCGGCGCTTCGGTGGGGGTTGTCTTCAGGAGTAGGGTTCGTTCGGAGTCGCCTGTCGTCCCTTCTGCCGTGAAGTTCAACACGAAGACTCCGTCGTCATCGACAGCCTTGCCGATGTAGGTATTTTGTAGAAAAGTTCGAAGGTATTGTCATCGCAGTTGCTCCGAATGTCGACTCCACACCTCATGAGCTGTGCCGAAGAGAGGAGGTTGTATTGCAGATCGGGGACGACCAGCACGTCTCCGATGTGAATGGTGAAGTGAGTGTCTTCGGCCTCGAGTTAAATCTCTCCGATTTCGTAGGCCTTGAGACGGTTGTTGTTGGCGACAGTGATTTCGCACGGTCGCCGCATGCGTTTTGATTTGCTGATGAACGTCGGTGATCCCACCATGTGTTGACTTCAGCAGCTGTCAACATACCAGGTATTGTAGCTTTCACGGTCCCGTCGCGCAATCCCAACGATCTTCGGAGTGATGATGCGGTCGAAGTCTCCAGTGTAAGGCGAGAGGTCAATGTATCTTCTTGCAGGAAGGCTAGGCGGAGACTCCGGATTGCTTAGAGGCAACTCGAAGTCAGGTGGGATGTCGGTTGGCCGATTCGTCCAGCTGCTGAGGGTAGGGTAATTGTTCAAACTTGACCTGATGGGATTGAGGGGCGCGATTGGTGGGTATTCAATGTCGTCGTAGTATCTGATGCCTCTGCGACGTCGCGCCATGCAGCTCATGATTGATCCCTTGCCTTTGTCCTTGTTTGAAATGCGCGCAGGAGTTTGTGAAGTGCTCGCAACCGAAGGCGGTGACATGGTCGATGTCGCAGCGGGAGAACTCGAGGGTGCCGAAGGCTGCTGACCAGGCGCTACCAGGATAGGAAGTTGAACCGTTGGTGATTGATTCCGAGGCACTACCACTTGGCTTTCATCCCCACCTATCCGCCTCATCCAATAGGATAATCTTGTGCCGCCCGGGTGGCAGAGTGAATTTCCTCAAAGCGGGAATATGAGCAATCTTTGGAAAGGGAAGTTCGAACCTTGGTTATTCCTGTGTCCCTAGGTGCTGCCCCTAGGTGTTGCCCCTAGGTGCTGCTACTACTACGAAGCTCTCAGCCCCACATGTCAGCCTCATCCAGGAGGATGATCTTGTGCCGCCCGGGCGGCAGAGTGACTTTCTTCTGAGCGAACATCTTGATCTTATTGCGAACCACATCGATCCCTCGGTCGTCAGACACATTCAGCTCGAGAACTGCATCTCTGTAACTGGGACCCAGCACTGCGTGCGCTAAGGCCAACACACTGGTTGTCTTGCCCGTCCCTGGAGGACCCTGTGTGAAAAGATGGGGAGTGAGGACAGGGTGGCAGTCGCGTTCAGCTCGAGAACTGCATCTCTGTAGCTGGGACCCAGCAGAGCGTGTGCTAAGGCGAGCACGCTCGTGGTTTTCCCTGTCCCTAGGGGACCCTGTGGAAATGAGGGAGCAGGGGAGCAGGGTTTGGAGCAGGGGGGCAGGGGAGCAGGGGGGGCAACCAGAGTGAATTTCTTCTGGGCGAACATCTTGATCTTGTTGCGAACCACGTCGATGTGCCTGGAGGACCCTGTAAAATTGGGGGGAGGCAGGGGAGAAGGCCGGGGAGGGTAGAGTGGGGGAGTGAGGGGAGACGAACAGTAGAACCACATTAGTGACAGTGGCGCGGTCATAAGCCGCGTCAGTTCCTGGACTGCCTCGCGGTAGCTGGGACGACTTTTGAGACGTCTCAAAAACAGGACTGCCTCCCGGTAGCTGTGACCCAGCAGCGCGTGCGCCAGGGCTGGTACGCTGATGGTTTTCGTGCGACTTTTGAGAATTCTCAAAAGTCGCACCAACGTAGCTGGGACCCAGCAGCGCGTGCACCAGGGCCGATACGCTGATGGATTTCCCAGTGCTCGCGGGACCCTGGGGGGAAGAGGGCGCAGGGGAGATTTCTTACATAGTACCCTTAGGCCTTTCGTCAGCGGCCTTTCGCTTGTAGCAGTGATCGATAGTGTGACCAGCCTTTTTGCAGTATTTGCAGAATGTTCCCTTCTTTCCATGCTGCTCCCCTTCAGTTGCTCCAGTAAAGAACACTAATTTTTCCCGCTTGCCATTCTTCTCGTTGTACAGATCAATCTCCTTCTGCTCGGAGAGAAGCGTGGCGCAGAGCGCGGACTCGGAAATAGTTGCTCGAGCACGGAGCAACGACTGGCATTGGCGCCAATCGGGTCCAAGGCCGGAAAGAACCATCGAGACAAACATGTCGTCTGGGACGGTTTCGCCGCACTTCTTAATGTGGTCGCGCAGATTGCGGCACCGATTGATATACAGTCCCGCTTTCTCCCCTTGTTGCATTTTAACCGATGTCAGTTGGCTGAGCAGGCGACTCATTGTAACGGGATCTGTTGCCATGTATGAATTTTTCAGGTGCTCCCAAGATGCATACGCGGGTGCCCACTCTGACTTGTAGGAGCGAATGCCAAGCTGCTCGGAGGGGGAGAGGTTTTGGAGGAGAGTGGTGTACGCCAGAAGAGATTCGTGGTAGTATTGATGCTTCTCCTGGATGGTCCCTTCCGATGGGAAAAGTAAGGTTCCGTCGTAATACATCCTGATCTGAGCAGTTGTTGCGAGGAGTTCGAATTCGAAGCTCCACATGTAGAAATCTCTGCCGTCGAATTGAGTTGAGGTCTTCAGCTTTGAGTTCAAAACGAATTTTGTCTGCAGGGTCGCGATTGTTTCCGACTGTACTCGTTGTTGACTGTCTTGTGCAGGAGCTGAAGCTTGACGGTTGTCAAAGGTGAAAGACCTCACGGAGTTGACGCGGCGGTCTTCTCCAGGGAGAGGGAGTCCAGCAACTCCTCTTGCGTAGCTTGAGCCATCGATGCTCATGGCTTGATGGCTCTCAAGAGCGTTGATGCGAGCGACAAGCTTGATCAACGAGAGCGGCGCTGACGGAGGTCACCGCTGATGGTGCAGTGGGCGTTGCTGGTGGTGGGCCCGGAGAATCTGCAGTGGCTTTTCCTTCGGGAGCCATTGTGATGCAGAGTTGTAGTAGCTTGTAATGAGTAACTTATAACGAGTTTGTTCTAGGAAGAACAAGGACTTGACAGGCCTTCTAACCCACTCTAGCTCTCATACCATGTTGTTATAACAACAGGATCGTAGTGGACAGGATAAGTCTGTCAAGTTTGAGAGAAGACAATGAAGTCTCTGTAAATGACCTTGTTGATGAGTTCAAAGAGAACAAGATGAATATAAGATAGGAGTACAAGGGTATAAATAGCAACCCTAGCTTGCCATGTACTCTGAGGGGTACACTCCCTTATTAACTGAATTGCATTGCCACAGTAACCACGACTATTGCTCTTCTTGACAGTTACCAGGTTGCATCGCGTAACTACCAAGTGCGGTTACTGGGCAGTCAAGGGTCACGACCGTTGACTGTCTTCGATTGTTGACCTTCGGGTGACCCTCGACCTTCCGCATGCTCTATTTGAGCTATTGCGATACTGATACAGGCGCGTTCCTTCGTTATGGAGTAACCCTAGGGCGACAGTGTGCCTTAAATGTAAACCCTGGCATATCAGGAAAATCTATGCTCCAGAAAATTTTACCCTAAGGCATCAGCGTGACTACCAAAAACCACCCTGATTATCAGTGTATCAGGGTGATTTACACTGATAAAATTAGCCCTGGTGGAGAGCCTTCGGGAATGTTACGATAACCTTTCGGTTATTCCAACAGCATGTATATCTATTCTCAGAAAGGAGGAAAAAAAAAGTGAGCTCGATTTGATTTCCAGCTGAATATGTTGTAATTACCTGAATCATGGTAGATACCCGAAATCAAGTCATAACAATAACTAGATAATGCAATATCTTGTTATTCCGCTCGTAACAGTAACTTGCGATCAAGTTGGGTACTGCAATTTTTGCGAAAAGGCTGTTGTGGAAACTTCGGACCATAGCAGGAAACAGAACGAGCGAGCTGCATTTTCTGGTAACTTGCGAAAGCCAAATGGGAAAAACAATGTTATGTACGCGGTAATGGCAATGCTGTCAAGGTAAGTCATTTTCTTACGTTTCACCTTCCAACCAACCCTCTATTCTTCAAATCCGAATTCCTCCAAATCTGCTTTGCCGCCATAGTTCGTGTGAGGCCTGTTCTTTTCTCGCCCACCCCCATACCTCCCTTCTCAGATCGCGGTCGGCTAGCACCTTGATCTTAAATTCCGCGTATAATTCCACGTTTAGCTGTTTGAGCTGGTCGTATCTTGACTCGCGCGCCATGGACTGCCTGTTCGGCCTTGTGGGGGACGGCTTCACGCTGGTCGTGGCGGACACGTCAGCAAACCAGTCTATCGTGATTAAGAAAACGGATGAGGATAAGATCATGATTCTCGACGAGACGAAATTGCTTGCCACGTCAGGCGAGGCAGGCGACAGGTGAGATTTCGGCAAGTGAGATTCGCGTTCGGACTTTTCCATTCAAATCACCGACTCTTCCCGCCTTTTCTCTCTTGCTATCTCCGTTATCCTCTCCGCTTCCCTATTTCGTTAGTCTCTGGAGACTATGTTAAGTTATTTGAGGGAGGCGACGCCGTACGTATTAGATGAAGGGTCCGATCCGACGTGCCTCAATCAACCGCGAATCTCGCCTCCTTAGATCTGGATTCATGTTTGTCCTACCCCGCAGTGGAATTTAGCCGCTCGACTCGAAATTTGCCTGTCCCAATGACACCTTAGTCCGACCACGCCTTAGTCCGACCGCGCTTTGTCTTATCCGATCCTTGCGCGAAAGGTTGATTTTGAGAATTCTCGAAATCAACCTCAAAACGCGCCACACCTCGAGATGTCAGGCGCAGCTAGCTCCTGAAGATATGGCTCCTCTTGTCCCATGCCCTTCCTGTTATACATCCCAGTCTGCAGACACCTTTCAGATCCTTTGCCGTTCTCTCCTTCCCATCTGCGCTCCCCTTCCCTCTCGTTTCAATTCTCCCCCTTCGCTCCGCCCATCCTCTTCTCTTCTCTCCCATCACCCCGCCCCGCGGGCCCCCTTGCCCGCCCACCCTCTCCCCTTCGCCCCCACACACTCCCGCGTGAACCACACCTGTCGAGAGCACACTACTCCTGCTAATCAAGACAAGCTGATTGGTCAACTTGAACCATTTCCTCCCCTACTCTTGCGCTTTCTCTCTCTTTCCACCCAGACTGTGCTTTTCGCCTCTAGTATTTCCGTGTGATAACGTCCCTTTTCCGTGTCCGTCCCGCGTCTCGCCATCACAATCATCACCACCACCAACCTCCCCCCTCACCAGGGTGCAATTCTCGGAGCTGATTCAGAAGAACATTCACCTGTACGCCTTCCGCAACAGCATCTCGCTCTCCACCTCCGCTGCTGCCAACTTCACTCGCCTCGAGCTCGCCACTGCCCTGCGCTCACGGGTCAGCACCCCACCTGCCTGCCTCCCTCCCCTTCTCGAGAATTCTTGAGAATCTTCTGAAAGCATGGCCGTCCGCTGCTTTTCCTCCTGCAGTCATGTGTTCATACCTTAAGTATTTACATCGGAACTATGTATATGTTTTCTTCAATTCGTCGTTATCCTCTCTTTTCGTGACTCATGTTCTTGTTGCCTTCTCTTTTCATCCTATTTTTGTGGCACTGAGCCCTTTCCGGCCTGTCACATCTGATATCCTTGTGACTTTTGAGTCGACTCAAAAGTCACCTTATCTGATATCCCTATCCGTCCTCCTTTCTCAGTTCCCTCTGTGGCTTGAGCCTGCAAAGGATCCGTTCTTTTTGCCGCAATTTCTGCTCTTCCTATCAACCCTCTTCATTGCCTGTACCAGTCACAGCACACTCTGGAGATTGGTGCTGCCCTGGAGCTCTTGTTATCGTGCCACCCTCCTTCCTGCTCTACACTCTCCTCCTGTGCTTGTGATTCTTGCAGGGTCGAGTTATCGTGCCCTCACCAAATATCACATGGTGTTCTCCCCCCGTTCTCCATCCCCATTCTCCCTAGGCCGCATGCATGTGCACATTCCCATGCGTATACAATCACGTACTCACACACCTAAAAATCTGCATCCACTTTCCCACATATATCCTCCAGGGTTCTTACCAAACCAACATGCTGCTGGCTGGATTCGATGAGGGAGTGGGGCCGTCGCTCTACTACCTTGACTACCTCGCCACGCTGCACAAAGTGAAGCACACTGCCATCGGCTACTGTACGTGTCTTGAATGACTTCTTGAGTCGACTCAAATTCCAAACCACCATGCTGTTGTTTGTTCTCTCTACTACCTTGACTACCTCGCCACGCTGGACAAAGTGAAGCACACTGCCATCGGCTACTGTACGTTTCTTGAATCATCCCCCACACCCCTCCGTTCTCTCGCTGCTTGCTTCTTTTCCTGAGTATGTGCTCACTTCGTTTTTATACAGCAAACAATACTTCTGAATTTGATGCAAGCAACCTTTATTCCCACGGTTCGTATTCTCCCTGCTGTCCTTCTCATCCCCGCCGCTCTGCTGACTTTCCACCGTTCCACCTCTAACTGCCCCTCTCTTTCCTCTCCATCTGTCACAAGTACTACAAGGACAACATGTCCCTGGACGAGGCTCTAGAGGTGGTGGACCTTTGGGGCACTGCAAATACCGTTCCACCTTTGACTTGCCCCCTTCTCACTCTCCCTCCCTTCTTTCCCGGCAGGCGCCTACTTCGTGCTCTCCATCTTTGACAAGTACTACAAGGACAACATGACCCTGGACGAAACGCTAGAGGTGGTGAACCGTTGATGCGCCTCAAACACTGTTCCACCTGCAACTTGCCCCGCTCTCTCGCTCCCTCCCTTCTCCACGTGCTGCAGGCTCCTACTTCGTGCTCTCCATCTTTGACAAGTACTACAAGGACAACATGACCCTGGACGAGGCGCTAGAGGTGGTGGACCGCTGCATTGCAGAGGTGCGCCTGCGCCTGCTCGTGTCGCCGCCCAACTTCCTCGTCAAGATTGTCGACAAGGACGGAGCCAGGGAGCTGCTGTGGAGGAGAACGGTTCCCCCTCCCCCCGGGCCTGAGACGGCTGCGGCTGGCAGTGCTGCTGCTGCTGCTGGTGGTGGTGCTGTGGAAGTTAGTGCGCATGATTGGCGTACCGTATGTAGTGTCTAGAATCTAGATTACTGCCTTCGTTTCCCCAATTCCTCTTCCTTAGACCGATCTCCCCTGCCCTTCTCCCCACCCTGGTCACCTTTCCCTTTCCACGAGACCACTTTTCTCTGCCGTTACCATGCCGGAACTTGTATAATGGTGTAACATCTGTAAAGTTTGGCGTGGCACCACTTTGGACAATACCGTAATGCACCATAGGCAACAGTACAGAACCGAGCAGGAAGCATTAGACAGTTGGGTGCATCTCCATTTCCCACTTGTCACTGTACTCTGGCTAGAGTGCTTTTGTGTTGCAGAATGGTTAAACAAATTTTGCTAATAAACCTGTTGTTTTTTCATTCTAGGTAATATAATCATTGTTACTGTATTTCCTTGGTTACTACAGTTTTTACAATTCGCCAGGAGAGGTGCTAGTTTCTCCATTCCCAGGACCAGCATTCCCGCACACAACACCATTCTGCTGGGCCGTGGCTTCGCGCTTCGCCATGGACGTCGCCATACTTTCGTCGCTAAACCCGCACGGGCGATTAACCGCACCCCGCACCTCTACACCATTCCCAACCGGTGGCGCATTCTCAAACACCGTCAAATTCAGACACTTACTCTCACCGCACACCAACTCACTTCAGACCACGTCTGATGCAGATCGCCATGCTCCCCGCGCATATGCACGTCCGGGGGGAAGCGCGGGGAGGAGGCGCACGGCGGCGGCGGTCTGGGGCCGCGGAGGCGGAGGCGGAGGCGGAAGGTTGCAGGACGACCCGCTGCTGAACGATCTGGCGGAGTTCGTGCTGGAAACGGCGGAAAACATTGCGATTCAGGCGAGCGCGCGCGCGGGGAGTGGGTTGGGATGTGTGGGGTTCGGTTGGGAGTGATTTCGAGCTATTTTCAGTCGATAATTTTGTGTCCTTTCAAGTGGGAGTGGTTGGGGGCTGTGCGAGTTAGATACATCTGGGAGTACCCTTCTCCCCCTCTCCCCCTCTCCCCTTCTCTCTCGCCCTCCCTCCCTCCCTCCATCCCTCCCTCCCTCCCTCCCTCCCTCCCTCCCTCCCTCCCTCCCTCCCTCCCTCCCTCCCTCCCTCCCTCCCGTTTTCACTCTCCTTACTCTCTCTCACTGCCACTCTTCCTGTGCACATGCGAATGAGCAGACAGGGGACATCATTCGGAAGCGGATCAAGCAAATTAAGATGGTAAGCATGCACGCTGCTCCCTCTCCTCTGCAAACTCTCCCTCCCCTCTGCGCACTCTCCCTATGCGTGTTTGGTGTGTGTGTGTGTGTGTGTGTGTGTGTGTGTGTGTGTGTGTGTGTGTGTGTGTGTGTGTGCATGAGCGTGTGCATGAGCGTGTGTGTGTGTGTGTGTGCATGAGCGTGTGTGTGTGTGTGTGCATGCCGTGCATGCGTGTGTGGGAGCAGGTGGAGGTGGAGCGCAAGGAGTATGCATGTGACTTGGTGACAGAAGTGGACAAGGAGTGCAAGCGATACATCACAAGCATTGTGAATGTGAGTTTGTTATAAATAGAGCCCCCTCAAAGCACAGCGCGTGTGTGCGTGTGATGTATGCGACTTGGGTTTTGGGTCGACTCAAAACAAAAGGTGGATAGGGAGGAGTGCGAGCAACACATCACAAGCACCGTGCATCTGAGTCGGGATTGCTGTTGTCTTACGCATAGTCTCCGCGTGCAGCACGGACTGCGAGCAGCATAGTCTCCGCGTGCTGCACATTCTTGAATCGCCTTTTGGAAACGGAACGGAGGTGTGAGCGAGCGATACGCCACCACTGGGACCATGCACGTGAGTGTGCTCTACGTTTTCTGCAAATCACAGGGCTTGCATTGCATGCGATATAGCAGCAGGGCATCACACACGTTGATAGCGCAGTATGTTTTTTTTAGAATTCTCAAAAATCAGATTCCGCGCACACAGAGCTCCCTTCAGACGATTTTTGAGGCGCCTAAAAAACCGTCACACATTAATAGCGCACACACGGAGCTCTCTTCAGTGCGAGTGATGGATGGGGTGATGATACACCCACCCACCCCGCCCTTTCAATGGAGTGTGCACCACACCACACCACACCACACCACGTTGATACATCGCATCACGTCGTTAGCTTGAGAACTTCCGCTCATACCGGCGTCCCTGGAAAACTGCACTCTTTCCCCCGCCTCTCCTCTTCCCACTCCCCCATTTGTTCCTCCTCCCCTATTTTCGGCATCCCCCCTGCTGCCAGTCCACCTTCCCTCTGCATCGCATCATAGGCGAGGAGACAGCCACAGAGGAGGACATGGCGTGGCAGTGCTGCTTCTCTTGGGTGCGCTAAGTGTTCTTAGGATCGTAAACACCTTAGTCGGCAATAGTCTACTTGCTATTGCTTATCGTGTTCTCCACGATCTCACGAATCCAACGATATGCGCAGCTCTGCTTGAAGTTGTCAATACACACTTCAGCAATTTTCAGAATCTCAATGGTTTCAATGTTGTGTTTTCCAGAATGAGTACAAGCAGTTTTATAGTCAACCAAGGTACAAAATGCGATTCGTAACTTCACTTGTTTCCCAAGTAACCGCGTGCGCCTCGTTTCACCCCGAGTCGCACACGCAACCGAACCGAATTCACCGAACACTCCTTGAGCCCGAATCTGGAAATTTCTCGAACACGCCTTGGTCTCGAACCACATTTTCCCCCGTCGAACTCATTCTCGATTCTTCTCCACTCTTCTTCCTTCATTTCTCCAGTTTCTTCCCGATTTCTCTCCCGCTTTTCACGCCTTAGCTTCCAACGTCCACCGTAGGCCGATTTCTACCGAAATCACTCTAGAATCTCCCACGAGCTCCATTCCGCCGCCATTCCGCATTTCACCGTAGGTTCCGTGGTTGGGCGAACCAACCCTAACAAGCCACAGAGGAGGACATGGCGTGGCAGTGCTGCTTCTCTTGATGATGGCAGTGCTGCTGCTGCTGCCACTGCTGTTGCAGGTGCTGTTGGTTTTTCTGACTTTTCAACCTCCTCTCCTTCTTCTCCTCCTTCCCCGTTTCTCGCCCGCCCCTTGCCAGTCCACGTTCCCCTTGCATCGAATTATAGGCGAGGAGACAGCCACAGAGGAGGACATGGCGTGGCTGGAGCAGGGAGCCAACCCTGCTGCTGCTCCCGGTGGCGATGGCAGTGCCGCTGCTGCTGCAATGAACGAGTGGGTGTGGATCGTGGACCCTATCGACGGCACTCTCAACTTTGTGAGTCGGGGAGGGGAGGAGGAGCAGATATTGAGACATCGTCGTCTGCCGCTGCTGCCGCCGTTGTCGCCGCCGCTGCTGCAATGAGCGAGTGGGTGTGGACCGTGGATCCCATCGACGGCACACTCAACTTTGTGAGTCTGGGCATGACATGGCCGCTCCAAGGAGTAAACCCTGCTTCTGCTCCCCCGGTGCTGCTGCCGGTGGTGGTGATGGCAGTGCTGCTGCCGCCGCTGCTGCAATGAATGAGCGAGTGGGTGTGGATCGTGGACCCTATCGACGGCACTCTCAACTTTGTGAGTTGAAGACTGGGAACATTAAGGGAGGGTCTGGTTGCCCCACTGCGTGCTGCAAGCTTTTAAGGATCGCTTGTTTCTATATGGCATGGCACGTGCAGGCAGACTCGTCTGCGCCCTTCTCACTAACTGAGCGAGAGTTCCCTGAAAGTCTGTTCTGGCTTTGTATGATTAGATGGCATGGCACGTGCAGACAGACTCGTCTGCGCCCTTCTCACTTTGGGAACCGGCCTCAAGGAAATACCTGATTCAGAGCAAGGTTCCCCTCCCTTCAGCCCCTCCGGCGAGACCCCCCTGTGCGCCGTGTCGCTGGGCGTGTTTTGAGTCGACTCAAAACTTCCCCCCTCCCCCCTCCTCTGCCTTTCCCCCCCTCCCTATCCGTGCAGGTGGGGGGGAGTTCCCTGTGCGCCGTGTCGCTGGGTGTGGCCAGGCATGGCTGGAGGCGTGTTTTGATTTGAGTCGACGCAAAACGTGTCGCTGGCTGGGTGCGCCATCTTGCTGGGTGTGGCCAGGCATGGCCGCCTGGACGTGGGGGAGATCGCCCTGTGCACCTTTAGAATCAAGCCCTCCTGCCTTTCCCCTCCGCGCCCGCTTCCAGGTCGGGGAGATCCCTATGTGCGCCGTGTCGCTGGGTGTGGCCAGGCATGGCCGCCTGGACGTGGGGGAGATCGCCCTGTGCACCTTTCCAGTTTTGAGCAGCTTAGAGATCAAGTCCCCCTCCCTCCCCTCCGCGCCCCCGTTGACTCAATATTCCCCCGCCCCCCTCCGTCCCCCTCCCCTCCGCCCCCCCTTACAGGTGGGGGAGATTCCTATGTGCGCCGTGTCGCTGGGTGTGTTTTGAGTCGACTCAAAACATCCCTCCTCCGCCTTCTCCCCACCTCCCTATCCGTGCAGGTGGGGGAGATCCCTATGTGCGCCGTGTCGCTGGGTGTGGCGCGGCAGGGGCGCCTAGAGGTGGGGGTGGTGTACAACCCCTTCAACAATGAGCTCTTCAGCTGCCGCCGAGGGGAAGGTGAGTGAGGCTTCGCTGTGGCGATGGGATGTGTGGGGCATGGGGCTGTGGCTGTGGTGGTGAGAGCTGGTGTAGGGGGTAGGAGTGGTCTGGCAGGGGCGCATGGAGGTGGGAGTGGTGTACAACCCCTTTCAACAATGAGCTCTTCAGCTGCCGCCGAGGGGAAGGTGGGACTGTTGGGGAAGTTGGTGAGCGTAGCATGGGGTGTGGTGTGTGGGGGGTAGGAGTGGTGTGGCAGGCCTGCATGGAGGTGGGAGTGACTTTTGAGTCGACTCAAAAGTCACCTTGTGGCAGGCCTGCATGAAGGTGGGAGTGGTGTACAATCCCTTCAGCACGAGCTCTTCAGCTGCCACCGTGCATTGAGGTGGTTTTTGAGGCGCCTCAAAATCCCTTCAACAACGAGCTATTTCAGCTGCCACCGTGGGGAAGGTGGGACTGTTGGGGAAGTTGGTGAGCGCAGCATGGGGTGTGGTGCTGGGTGCGTGGAGGGGTAGAAGTGGCCAGGCAGGGGCGCATGGAGGTGGGAGTGGTGTACAACCCCTTCAACAACGAGCTCTTCAGCCGAGGGGAAGGTGAGTGAGAGCCTTCCGTGTGTCAATGGGGTGTGTGGGCATTGCTTGGTGGGTCGACTCAAAATTCTGCCAAAGGGGAAGGTTAGGGGCTGCAAGGGCCTTCATTGTTCCAACCCTACCTCTCGTTGATCCGTGCCCCTCTGCATTCATTCCTCTCCTCTGTCTCCTTTCACTCATGACAAGCTGTGCGTGTGACGTCTCCTCTCCACTCCGCTCCTCTACTCTCCTTTCTCCCCCTCTCCAATTCTCTACTCTCCTCCCCCCTCCCTTCCTCTCCTCTCCTCTCTTCTACACTCCGCTCATCTGTTCTCCAACAGTATTGCCATTCAAACGAGCCCACTGATATTGCTAATAAATTATGAGACGTCTCAAAAGGTCTCTCCTCCCTGGCCCCCCCGTCCTCTCCTCTCTTCACTTCCTGCCAGGTGCATATTTGAACGGCAACCGCATTACTATTCCAAACGAGCCTATTGCTATTGGTGATGCCGCAATTGGTGTGGGCTTCCCATCCAACGTACGTGCACATGCACACATGCACACATGCACACATGCACACATGCACACATGCACACATGCACACATGCACACATGCACACATGCACACATGCACACATGCACACATGCACACATGCACACATGCACACATGCACACATGCACACATGCACACATGCACACATGCACACATGCACACATGCACACATGCACATGCACACATGCACACATGCACATGCACATGCACACATGCACACATGCACACATGCACACATGCACACATGCACACATGCACACATGCACACATGCACACATGCACATGCACACATGCACACATGCACACATGCACACATGCACACATGCACATGCACATGCACATGCACATGCACACATGCACATGCACATGCACATGCACACATGCACACATGCACACATGCACACATGCACACATGCACATGCACACATGCACACATGCACACATGCACACATGCACACATGCACACATGCACACATGCACACATGCACACATGCACACATGCACATGCACACATGCACACATGCACATGCACACATGCACACATGCACACATGCACACATGCACACATGCACATGCACATGCACACATGCACACATGCACACATGCACATGCACACATGCACACATGCACACATGCACACATGCACACATGCACACATGCACATGCACACATGCACACATGCACACATGCACGTGCACACATGCACACATGCACACATGCACATGCACACATGCACACATGCACACATGCACATGCACATGCACACATGCACACATGCACACATGCACACATGCACACATGCACACATGCACACATGCACATGCACACATGCACACATGCACATGCACACATGCACACATGCACATGCACATGCACACATGCACATGCACATGCACACATGCACACATGCACACATGCACACATGCACACATGCACACATGCACACATGCACACATGCACACATGCACACATGCACACATGCACACATGCACACATGCACACATGCACACATGCACACATGCACACATGCACATGCACATGCACATGCACACATGCACATGCGCGCATGCACATGCATCACAGCAACGTTTCCTCAAACCACGCTTTGCTTCATTCTTTCTCTCCAGCCAAGCAACGTTACCCCACCCACCCACCCACCCACCCGGAAGCAACCACACCCCACACCCTTCGCTTCATTCTTTCTCTCCAGCCAAGCAACGTTACCCCACCCACCCACCCACCCACCCGGAAGCAACCACACCCCACACCCTTTGCTTCGCACCTTCATCGCTACTTGTTCCTGCTGTTTTGTACGGTTTGGCATGACTTTGCTCTCCTCTTTCCTTCTCTTACAAGACAATGCATCCTGTATGTACCCGTGTTAGACTCCCAACCCTTCCGTTATCTATTATCTGCCATCCACATCCCCTGTGCTGTATTTCGACCTCCTCTTTTCACCTTCCCTCCTTTCCTCCTTCCCGCGTCTCCCCTCTCCTCCCCTCCTCCCTCCTCTCCCCTCCTCTTGCCCTCCATACAGCCAGAGCAGCGGCAGCGAATGATAGAGGCAGTGGCGGCAGTGGCACCACACGCTAGGACCATGAGGGCCTTTGGATCCGCGGTGGGAAACGGTGTTGGGGGAATCGGGAATGGGCGAATGGGGAATGGGGAACCTTGACTGGGGGAGGAGGACGGGGTTAGGATGTGTGATGCGGCATGGCATGGTTTGGATGGTCTGTTGATACAGTAATGCATGCCACTGCATCTGCTCGTTACACCACAGCACCCAATGCTGTCCGTTAGTGTGCTCCCTTCATAGCTTCCATTCCCCCAATAATCTCATCCCATGGTTATTCTCATCCCATGGTTCCACCGTACCCATATCCCCTCTTCCTTTCCTCTCCCTCTCCCCGTCCCTCTCCCCGTCCCTCTCCCCGTCCCCCCTCCCCGTCCCAGGCTCTGCATATGAGCTACGTGGCAGCAGGTCGCCTGGGTGCTTTCTTTGAGGAAGACCTCAAGGTAACTCTTGAGAATTGAATACCCAAAAGCCAAAAGCACTGCAACAACGAGGAAGCGTAACTTTCTGACTTTTGAGTCGACTCAAAAGTGGCAGCAGGTCGCCTGGGTGCTTTCTTTGAGGAAGACCTCAAGGTAACTCTTGAGAATACTCAAAAGCCACCTGCACTGCAAGAACGAGGAAGCGTAACGGATGCCACACCTCATAAATCCACGACTAGTTCAAAACAGGCCGTTTGAGTTCCCAGTACGAGCGTAAGTTCTTTAGCTCAGTGCCATGATGAGTTATCAACACATCGTGCACCATACCCTTGTCTCGTGTCCCCACCCTTTACCCCTACCCACCTGCTCTCCCATACTCACCTGCCCACACCTACCCACCTGCTCTCCCATACTCACCTGCTCACCCCTACCCACCTGCTCTCCCATACTCACCTGCTCACCCCTACCCACCTGCGAGTGCCTCCAGCCATGGGATGTGGCAGCAGCCCACCTCCTTGTACAGGTACTGAGCCCTCTTGCACCTTTGAGAATTATTTTCTGCACCTTACTGACTCCCCTTGCATCTTACTGACTCCGCTTGCACCTTCTGCTGTGCATCAGAACACACACACACACTCTCTCTCCCTCTCTTTCCGTCCCGTTTCCGTTGATATTGCCACTTTCCCTTCCTTTCACCACCCATGAGAACCACTCGCATCGCAACCCATCCCACCTCGCATCTCCTTGTTTGTCAGTGCCCTCAAGTATTGACCTCACCTTTCTTTACCATGCTCATCCCCCTGCCTCCTATGCCCCCCACTCGTTTCCTCCCCATTCATCTCACCTCCTTCCCCTTCCTCACCGTTCCTCCCCATTCCCCCCACTTCATCCCCCTCACTCCTCCTCCCCCTTCCTCCTTTCTCCCACTTCCTCCTCCTTTCTCCCTCTTCCTCCCCCTTCCTCTCCCTTCTTTCCCCACATTAGGAAGCGGGAGGAGTGGTAACCAGCATGGCTGGAGAGCCACTCAAGCTGAGTGGGGGGTCTGTTTTGGCAACCAGTGGGGGTCAGCAGCTGCACTCACACATCCTCTCACTCATCGCTAATGAGAAGGCATGAGGTTAGGTTAGGTTGTTGCTTAGGTTAGGAGGGGGTTTGAATGGTCGACTTTTTTCTCATGTCAGATTTCACTTTTTGTAGCAGTGAAGTGGTGAAGTGGTGAAAGGTACCGGTACCAGATCTGTGGGGTATGCAGTGATGGGAAATAAATTTGGACTGAAACAAACAGTAAAGAGAAATTGCTTATTCAACGAGCTTCAGAAAAAATACGGAATACGGCTGATAGTAGTTCTGGTCCGAAAACACTCCCCTGACAACCGCCACGAACAAAACGACTTACTGGTCCGCCATCCCTGAAATCAAGCCAAGCGCTCGGCCCTTATCCAACAATGAGGGCTTGTTCGTAGTTTTAACACTAACCAACATTGTTGGCTTGGTGTCAAAATCTCGCAGATTCTTAGCCAGTAAAAAAAGTCGGACACCTTTGACTCTGACAGAGTCAATACCTATGAACCAACCAGGATCGTCGCAGCAGCAAAACTCCACCTCCCCTTCTGCCCAATCGAGGTGCACCGTTTCCTACACGAAACCTAGGAGCTATTCAAAAGTTTCGCTGGATTGGACGTGCACCAATCATTTCAACACTCAAGTTGTTCGCAACGAATCAGCTTGCGTCGTTGATGCCCATATATGCGCTTCACTCTGACACTGATGCTACAGTACTTGACGCGCTACACACGCGCGCTTCGGGTTGACACGCATAAACGCGTGGTGTCAAAAGTACGAACAAGATCTGAGTCCTTCATCCAACTGCGGTCATCCGCACACCAGCGCGTATAGGCGCCGGGCGCCTCCCCTCGCCCTTCTGAAGTTCGCCCGCCATAAAAGTCTGGACAAGTGTAGACGAAAGTACACGTTTGATTGGCTCCTTGCTCCAATATGTCTGGAAACTTGTGTGGTGACCAATGATCGGGTGTGTTTACACGTCACTGAGGAACATTTTGGGCCGGATGGCGGGCGGACAAGTCTGGAACCGTGACCTGAGGGTTTCCGGAGAGTCTCCGCCGACCTCCTCACCCCCGATCTCGCCGTCCCTCGGCCTTTCGGATCAGTGATTCTTTCAGTGGCAGTGGTGTTTCGTGTGCGTTATCCTCAGTAGCACAGGCCTCACACGATGCAGTCAGCAGCGGTGCTCTAATAACCGTACGAGATTTAACGATGTCTGCCACGCCTCGTTCCTCTGCCATGCGATGCCGCGTTGCGCCTCCTTGGCCACTGCGCCGCGCCGATGCAGCAGCGCGGCTTCTCCTTTGCGCGGCCCTCGCGCTCACTGCCACCGCCGATTGCTCCGTCTCTTCCGCCAACCACCCACCGCCACGGCCACAAGCCCCGCGTCGCCGATATCAGCGCGTGCCACCGTCTCCCCTTGCTCGGCCCACCCGCGCGGCACAGCGCGCGCTCCTCAAGCTCAACGCCGCCACCGCCGCCGCGGCCGCCGATTTCGAGGCGACTGACAGCGGCGATCATGCCGCAGCAAGGCCCGTATCTCTGGAGGCGTCGCAACGTGAGCTCGCTGCCCTCGCGCTCGACCCGCTCCGCCCTCCTCCATGATATCCCTCACTCATCGCGAAAAAAATGAGAACACAAAAATGTGCACATTTGAACATTTAATGTTCGAGAAAGCTGCGGAAAAACAACGACCAGCTGCGGAAAAGCTCCCGGCGGGCCCCCAAAGTGACTGAAAGTTACATGGCCGAACACTATAACGCAATTAAAAGTAGCACATCCCAAAATGTGTGAGGTCGGGGTGGGATGCTTTTCAGGGATTGCGAGAGAGTAACTTTACTGAACTTACCTGCAGGTGGCTTTTCTGTGTTCACGGCTCGGGAATCAGTGAAGTGCTCGAAATTTCGACGCGAAAGGAGACCTGTCTGGGATCTAGCCTGGGGGCCCCAGCGAAGTCGCTGTGCAGCCAAGAGAAATTGCGGTCCTTTCATTAGCACCGGGGGGAGACGGGTGTAGTAAAGCCTGCAGCATCCGCTGCGCCTCTGAAAAAAAACCCCCGTTTTAACCAAGTGCCGTCTAACTGGGCGTTACTATGCCGTAGCGCTAGGAGCCCAGTGCTGCACGAGAGGTCCACGCTGGTACGCCGCACGCGCTGAGACGCTCATCTGTTTCACTTCTTCCCTCTCCTTGTTCGGCTGCTCGATGCACGTGTGCAGTGAGCGCGGTGGTGCAGGTGCAGCAGGCGTGGGGCGCGTGGGCGGGCAACAGCAACGGCAGCACTGCTTGCTCTGCGTGGCCTGGCGTCACGTGCAGCCCTAACGGACTCATCGTCGCATTGTGAGAGCCCTTGCCTCTCTCCCCCCCCATTGCCCCCCAATTGCCCTCCATTGCCCCACATGACCACTCCCACTCTTCACCACGTTACGACCACTTTATCGCGTACAATGCAACTCCTCCACTCATCGCGGTGCATCACCTGTTTTTGTTCTTGTTCTGAATGCGCTGGACTTGTGTGAACGGTGCCTGGTTGGTGGGGCCGAAAATTGGGAAGAGGCGGTTGCGTGGGATGGGGTATGGGGCATGGAAGAGGAAGGGTAGGGGAAAGCGGGGAGGCGGGGCGGTGGGAGGGGATGGGTAGGGGAGTGGTGTGGAGGGATGGGAGCATGGCGTGGTTGCGTGCGTGTGGTGGGTGGCACTGGCAGGGATTCAAAGGCCGTATCGGTGGATGGCAGTGCTGCCATACCTGACTCCGTCACCAATCTCGCCGCTCTCCAATACCTGTCCGTCCCCACCCACCCTCCCCGCCCACCCTCCCCGCCCACCGTCCCCGCCCACCCTCCCCGCTCGCCACGCCATGCACTCTGCAATGCATGCACTGCACCACGGCATCACTCATTCGCCATGCTCCACCTTCCTTCCGCTGCAAAGTCTCTGCTGTTCTTGCCCTCGGCGGCCGTACTTGCTCGCGTCCATGGCCCGCCTCACCAGGAAGCTTCAAAGCGGCCATGACAATGCAGAGATTCCCCCATGTCGTCCCCCACTCGCTTCATAAGCTGCACCGCACCCGGCTGCCCCTGCTCGCTGCCCTTGCACGCCTCAACTTTGCAGCAGTTGGTGTAGCAGCTGGGATGTGATCTGCACCGCCGAGGCATCGCTCTGCACGCCTCATTCCGCCTCCCGCCTGCCTTCGCTCCTGCTTCCTGCCTGCCCCTGCTCATTGCCCACAGCGATCTGACAAACGATCAGCTGGTGGGGCCCATCCCATCCCTCGCGAGCCTCACCGGCCTCACCCTCCTGTACGTGCCCCGCAGCCCCGCCTCTCCTGTACGTGCCTCGCAGCCCCGCCTCCGCCATGGCCATGGCCCATGCAGTGCACTGCGCTCCTTCTCTCCTCTGCTGCCAAAGATTCGTATCGCTCTTGCTTGCTCCTTTCTCAAGGAGTTGATGTATTGTTCCACCGCTCCTCTGCACGTGTGGCATGGCTGACTGCATGTGCGGCATGGCTGACTGCATGTGCGGCATGTCCTCAGAGCCATGGGAGCAGACGGCAGCCAGCTCAATGGCACTCTTGAGGGACTGGCTTGGCTCTCCTCCCTCTCCAACCTGCACACACTGTACGCCCTGCACACTGCCCCACCCTGCTCACACACTTCACACTCCCTGCTCACACTTCGCACTCCCTGCTCACACACTTCTCACTCCCTGCTCACACTTCACACTCCCTGCTCACACTTCACATCACACACCCGCCGGCGTCATGCAGTCGGCACTCCCATGTTGTCTTCGGGCCACGCTGCCCTCATGTCATTGCCACACGCCCCATCGCTCCAGCAACTCGTGCACACGCCCCGTGTCATGTCCCTCCCTCCGCCCGCCGCATGGCTTCTCACACCACAACCCTCCAACCACCAACCATCAACCACCAGGAATGTTTTTGGCTTGTCGGAATTCACAGGGGATTTGTCCTCTCTGCACGTTCTCTCTCACCTGGAAAAACTTCAAAGCCTGTAAGCTCGATTCCAGCCTGTAAGCCTGTAAGCCTGTAAGCCTGTAAGCCTGTAAGCCTGTAAGCCTGTAAGCCTGAAAGCCTGTAAGCCCTGTAAGCCTGTAAGCCTGTAAGCCTGTAAGCCTGTAAGCCTGTAAGCCTGTAAGCCTGTAAGCCTGGTGCTGCCTCAATGCTGCAACTGGTGTAGTTCATGTCCGTCAGTGTGTGAACTGACTTCCTGGCCGCCTCTCTCACTGTGCGCTGCTGGTAGTGTTGTCTCCCTTCCGTGCATGTGCATGTGCATATGCATGTGCATGTGCGTGTGCGTGTGCATGTGCATGTGCGTGTGCGTGTGCGTGTGCGTGTGCATGTGCGTGTGCATGTGCATGTGCATGTGCATGTGCATGTGCATGTGCGCAGTACACTCAGTTCATTCACCAATGCCACGGGGGAGGTACCCAGGGAGATCCGATACCTCACGGCCCTCACTGCCCTGTAAGCTGACCTGCACATGGGTCCACGAGTAGATTATATAATGAAGCACACTCCTTCACGTGCCCCATCAGATTTTCACTGACTGACTGCTCCTGGGGCATGAGACCAGCGGCCAGCCCTCTGCTATGCCCTTATCCTTATGCCACCCCCTTGCATCTCTTCTCCCCTGCAGCGATTTGTCGTACCTTCGGGCATTGGAATTTCCTGACTGGGTGACTCACCTCGCCACCCTTCAGTATCTGTGAGCTCCTCCTACAGCACCCTACCGCACACCCGTCTTTGCCTTTGCCACACACCTACCGCCCTTGCTGCTGCACACACCACACCACGCACCAGAACCATGCATACCACGGCAGTGATCTCGCCGTGTCTAAATCTGGACTCTGGAGAGTCTCACGGGCCTGGCTTTGCCCCCCGTGCCCTTGCCCCCGTGCCCTTGCCCCCGTGCCCTTGCCTTGCCCCCGTGCCCTTGCCCCCGTGCCCTTGCCCCCGTGCCCTTGCCCCCGTGCCCTTGCCCCCGTGCCCTTGCCCCCGTGCCCTTGCCCCCGTGCCCTTGCCCCCGTGCCCTTGCCCCCGTGCCCTTGCCCCCGTGCCCTTGCCCCCGTGCCCTTGCCCCCGTGCCTTGCCCCCGTGCCCTTGCCCCCGTGCCCTTGCCCCCGTGCCCTTGCCCCCGTGCCCTTGCCCCCGTGCCCTTGCCCCCGTGCCTTGCCCCCGTGCCCTTGCCCCCGTGCCCTTGCCCCCGTGCCCTTGCCCCCGTGCCTTGCCCCCGTGCCCTTGCCCCCGTGCCCTTGCCCCCGTGCCCTTGCCCCCGTGCCCTTGCCCCCGTGCCCTTGCCCCCGTGCCCTTGCCCCCGTGCCCTTGCCCCCGTGCCCTTGCCCCCGTGCCCTTGCCCCCGTGCCCTTGCCCCCGTGCCCTTGCCTCCCTGCCCTTGTCCCCCTGCCCTTGTCCCCCTGCCCTTCTCCACCTGCCCTTGTCCCCCTGCCCTTGCCCCCCTGCCCATGCAGCAACGTGAACGCGGATGAGCCGCGGCGGCAGGGGTTGTTGTCGGATGACATCTCGCACCTCACAGCGCTCACCTCCCTGTGAGTGCAGCACGCTAAGTTCACAACCCTCAGTCATAAGACATGAATGAACCAAAGGGCAGAGCATGTCACAACCCTTTCGTGTATGGGTGTGGGAATAAATATCTAGGCCCATTGCTGCACCTGCTTCAGTCGGAGTGGCCACCAGGCAAGCAGGGGGGTGTGCTGTGCTGTGCTGCACTGGACAGGACAGCACGTTCCTGCCACTCCTGCACAAGTCCCTCCCTCTTGTGTTACCCTCGTGTTGTGCCCTGCATCTTGTGCCTGCTGACACGCACGGCAGATCCCTCAAAGGCAACAATCTGGAGGGCTCCGTGCCTAAGACCTGCTCCTCTCTCCTCAACCTGCAATACCTGTGAGCCTCTGCCTGCTGTGCCGTGCTGCCGTGCTCCCATGCTGTCATCCCCCCCTCCCATGCCCCCATGCTGTCATCCTTCCGTGGTGTTGTTACCAATCCGTTAAGCTGTCACCCAGTGAATGCCTATCTCATCAACCCCAACACTTACCTGCGTTTGTATCTCGGAGCCCTACCTTCATCTCGTTTCAGGGCTTTGAATTACAACCATCTTCAAGGCACCATTCCTGCCACCCTCTCTGCCCTCACAGCCCTCACTGCAATGTAAGTTCCCAGCATGGACGTCGCTTCGCTCACCATCTCGTTTCGACCTCTGCACTCTCACCATCTCGTTTCGACCTCTGCACTCTCACCATCTCGTTTCGACCTCTGCACTCTCACCATCTCGTTTCGACCTCTGCACTCTCACCATCTCGTTTCTCACGCTTGTCTCGCCCTCTTCGTCATGCGCTGCACCCGCCGTTCTTTCTGCCCCCCTCCCACTGCAGAGACCTCTCATGGAATCATCTGTCTGGTTCCATCCCCCATGCCTTCACCACCAACATCCAGAGAATGTACGTCTCGCGCCTCTCCTCTCTCTTCTCTCCTCTCTCCTCTCTCCTCTCTCCTCTCTCCTCTCTCCTCTCTCCTCTCTCCTCTCTCCCTCAAGCTCCAGTCTTGAGGCGCCTCAAAAGTCATGTATGTCTCGCGCCTCTCCTCTCTCCCTCAACCTCCAGCCCCCAAACTTACAATCTTCGCTTTCCTCTTCCTCCTCTGTAGACCCTCATGCTCCCCTCCCTCCCTCTCTTTCCTCCACCCCCCCTCTTGATTCCTCCTCCCTTGTCGTTTTCTCTGACTCCTCAACGGGTTCTGCCCATGTTCGGTACCCCTGCATCTTTCCATTACCCATGGCCTTCTTCCCCCCTTTCTTTACATCCTCTTCCCTTTTTCTCCAATCATTGCACATTCCGTTTTCTGTTCGAAACACCATTATAATAATTTAGAGGAGTCACCTCCTCTTCCTATGCAGAGCACTTGGTTACAACGCCTTCAGTGGCCCCATCCCGCCTCACCTTGCACTGCCCCAACTCACTTCCCTGTAAGCCCCATCCCTCTCTGCCCTGCTTCCTTGCACTCATCTCTGCATCCCGTGCAGTTGACCCTTTGCTCTCTGTCCTCATTTCTCCGCCGGGTCCATGCGCCCATCTCTGTGCCCTTGCCCTCGCCTCCCCATGCCTCAACTCTCTCTCTCTCTCTCCGTGTGCCCTGCTGGGTGGGTGGCCCGCCCGTGTCTGCAGGCAGCTGTCCAGCAATGGGTTCACGGGCGCCATTCCCAGCACCTTCACCCGCCTCACAGCCATGAGTATGCTGTACGCCTCACAGCCATGAGTATGCTGTACGCCTCACAGCCATGAGTATGCTGTACGCCTCACAGCCATGAGTATGCTGTACGCCTCACAGCCATGAGTATGCTGTACGCCTCACCCACGTGCGTGCATCCCTCATGCCTGCATCCCTCATGCCTGCAATCCCCGTGCCTGCATCCCCCGTGCCTGCATCCCAGGGACGCGAGCAACAACAGTCTGAGTGCAGGCTTGGATGTGGTGGCGCAGATGACATGGCTCACTGACATGTGAGCGCCTACCCTCCTCCCCGCCTCACCTGCCTCATCGTTGTGCCCGCCTTGCCGGGCCTCCCCTTCCCGCCTTGCTGGGCCTCCCCTTCCCGCCTTGCTGGGCCTTAGGGTTGAGAAAGAGGCGAACATGTTCGTGCTCGCCCTTGGGCGAACATGTCACCTGGGTGAACCAAACATGTTCGGTTCGCCGCACAAAGGGTGAACACAAAGGGTGTTCGCCCCGAGCATGAACATGTTCGTGCTCGCATTCTCAGCAGCGTTTTTTATAATCACATCAACCAGTTGAGTGGATTTCGGCGTTCCTAATGGCGGTGTCAGACCTGGTGGGCGGTGTTAGACCTGGTGTGTTAGACCTGGTGTGTTAGACCTGGTGTATTAGACCTGGTGTGTTAGACCTGGTGTGTTAGACCTGGAGGGGATTTGGGATTGTATGAAAGTAGTAGCAAACAGTTAACGTTACTGACGCCAATCCTAAACTAGTCTAGGATAGAAGAAAAAGGCTGTGGCAACCCAAATAATTAGAGTTCAAGGAAAGCTTAGGGATGGCGCTAAGAGTCTTGGCCGTGGTAGGTGTCTTAGCCTGAAATTGAACTCAGGAATGAGGTCGACGAAGTGAAACCAACGACCTAAAAAACGGGGTTGCGGGACCTTTTGGGCGAACACAATTGTGTTTGTCCTAAGGGTCCAGCGAATACGAACATGTTTGTGTTCGCCTCGGCCCGGGAAACCGCAACGAACTGAACACCAACGTGTTCACTTCACCCCGAACACTTTAGGTTCACGTTCGAGGCAGCCCAAACACATGTTCACCTGGATGCTCAAGCCTACTGGGCCTCCCCTTCCCTCCCTCCCGCCGTCGGCTCACTGCAAGTGGCAACACCTGAGCCCCGCTCTCAATTGTGTGCCGTGCAGTAGCCTCCACACCAACAACTTCTCCGGGGTGCTTCCAGCGACCCTCTCTGCCATCAAGGGGCTTGTCTTCATGTCAGTCTGCTCCATCCATCCCTCACTTACTCAATCACTCATTTTCTCACCTCCTCCATGCAGAAGAACCTTCTATGTGTTTGTGGGGCAAGCAGTTGGGAAACGTGCACATGTGTTATCTAGGTTGCCTTGCACGCACATGCGTGCCAAGTTGTGCGTGGCTGGCCGGTGCATGAGGGCCCGCGGACGTGTGACTCACTCGCATGCCCAAATGCAAGTGTGTGTGCGTGTCTGCATGCCTCTCGTCCTCTTCCCTCCACCACATGTTCCTTGGTCGTGCATCAGAAGCATCGCTAACAACCACTTCACAGGAGAATTCCCCCACCCTCTTCTGCACACCCACCACCTTGCTTCACTGTGAGTGAGACACACTCTCACGGTTGCGGGCCACGGTGGTTTACGATGGGTATAACATGTAGAATCCTTTCTATATTTGACAAATTTGCAATGCTAACTTTTTCTTCTCGTGCCACCACTGAAGGCAGCTGTCACAACCGCTCACATGGTGATGGCATTGGCATTGCCGGTGGCAGGGATGTCAGCAACAACAGCTTCTCTGGATCCATCCCTTTGCAATTGACCAAGCTACTGCAGCTGTATAACATGTGAGTGGCGCCCCATGGGCTCAACAGGATATCAGCGCTTGTTCACACTGTTCCCGTAGACCTGATCTTACTTCATAAAGCTACTTCGTAGGCCCGCTCTTTCGTCAACCGAGCTGCATAGCCAAGCCTGTTCCCTGTTCGTTCCCAGCCCATATCCACGCTTGTTTGTTCACGCTTTGATATTTTATATTCTGCGTGTTCAGTCCAGTGGTGCAATTTTTGAACCTCTCCCATGGGCTCGACTGTTGCACTCTGTCGTCGCTGCTGCGTGACTCGGCCAGCAATCTCAGTGACAACAAGTTCCATGGATCGATCCCGATTGGCCTCTTCCACCTCCCCACGCTTTACTCACTGTGAGTAGCTCCATGGCGGCCGCCATTGCTTGCAGTGCAGATTGCAATACACAGCAGTCTAATGTGAGGTTCCTGAATCCAATACAGAAAGCTGATCTTGATACTTGCGTGCCTAACACTAATTTCTTATGAGACTCCCTTGCATCTCTTCATTCTTCACCTTTGCATTCCCTTTCTCGGCTTCAAGTCTGGCAGTGGGTCATAATGCATGCCAGCAACCACCACTTCCCTCTGTCTCCAACCCTTCCCAATGCAGGCAAGTGGCAAACAACTTTCTTTCCGGAAACCTTCCAGTGACGCTTAGAGCCTCCTCCGCACTTACCACGCTGTAAGCAGCGCCACCACTCGTTGTGCTGCCACCACTCGCTGTGCTGCCACCACTCGCTGTGCTGCCACCACTCGCTGTGCTGCCGCTGTGTCATCTTGCTCTCCGTGGTCATTGTCTTTCCGTCACACCGTGTGCAGTAGCTTTGCAGGAAACGGCTTCACGGGCTCCTTGCCAGACTGCTCGCAGTGGAAGTGCAGCTTTGAAACGCTGTAAGCTTCTTCCTCTCCCTCTCCCCTTTCCAACCCCCCTTCCTTCCCCCGCTCTTTCTTCTTCCTGTCTCAAACCCCTCTCGGTTTTTCTTGACAAATCTGTGTTCCTCCCGTTTGCCATCTTTGTATTCACTAGCTCTTGTCTTGCCTCAATCACGTGTCCTGGGTTTTTGGGTGCCATGCATGCCCCATGCATGAGTGCTGCTGGTCATGCAGGGCGCTGAGCAACAACAACTTCACAGGGCCCATTCCTGACTCCATCTCCACACTCTCCACTCTGGAGGCTATGTGAGCCTCGTCTGCTGTTGCGCCCTCACCTCACCACATGCCATGCCCCTCACCACATGCCATGCCCGTCACCACATGCCTTGGCCCTCACCACACCACATGCCCCTTACCATAATCCCACCTGCATCTGCGGAGTGTAGTCTTCTCACCCAGAGGGAGTTCAGGGAGAAAGCTGGCAGGGCCAGGCTAGCACCTAGCAGCAGCCTCATGCGCTCTGTGCTCATGCGCTCTGTGCTTGCAATGAATCATGCGCTTTGTGCTTGCAATGAATCATGCGCTCTGTGCTTGCAATGAATCATGCGCTCTGTGCTTGCAATGAATCATGCGCTCTGTGCTTGCAATGAATCATGCGCTCTGTGCTTGCAATGAATCATGCGCTCTGTGCTTGCAATGAATCATGCGCTCTGTGCTTGCAATGAATCATGCGCTCTGTGCTTGCAATGAATCATGCGCTCTGTGCTTGCAATGAATCATGTGCTCTGTGCTTGCAATGAATCACGTGCTCTGCCCTTCCCATGCCTCTGCAGCATACTGGACAGCAACCAACTGACGGGGACCATTCCAGCTGCCATTTTCAAAATGACGAATCTAGAATCCATGTGAGTCTTAAGTACCCATCTAGTGACGGATTTTGGGTTTTAAGACGAGCCATTGCACCTCATTTCCCCTACTGTGATCACGCTGCTTTCCTTTGTCAACCTAGGCTGCTCTCCAATATGCTGCTCTTGCTCACAGCAGTCGCTTCCCTCCATGCTTTCATCCATACCCCCCTCCATACTACCCTCCGTACCCCCCTCTATAACCCCCCCCCTCTCCATGCGCCCCTCTATGCGCCCCTCCATGCTCTGCAGCTACTTGGCCAACAACCGTTTGAGCGGCAGTCTGCCGTCTGCCATCAGTCGCTTAAGGAAGCTCCAACAGATGTGAGGGCCCTCCCTGCCTGCCCTCCCTGCCTGCCCTCCCTGCCTGCCCTCCCTGCCTGCCCTCCCTGCCTGCCCTCCCTGCCTGCCCTCCCTGCCTGCCCTCCCTGCCTGCCCTCCCTGCCTGCCCTCCCTGCCTGCCCTCCCTGCCTGCCCTCCCTGCCTGCCCTCCCTGCCTGCCCTCCCTGCCTGCCCTCCCTGCCTGCCCTCCCTGCCTGCCCTCCCTTCCTGCCCTCCCTGCCTGCCCTCCCTGCCTGCCCTCCCTGCCTGCCCTCCCTGCCTGCCCTCCCTGCCTGCCCTCCCTGCCTGCCCTCCCTGCCTGCCCTCCCTGCCTGCCCTCCCTGCCTGCCCTCCCTGCCTGCCCTCCCTGCCTGCCCTCCCTGCCTGCCCTCCCCGCCTGCCCTCCCTGCCTGCCCTCCCCGCCTGCCCTCCCTGCCTGCCCTCCCTGCCTGCCCTCCCCGCCTGCCCTCCCTGCCTGCCCTCCCTGCCTGCCCTCCCTGCCTGCCCTCCCTGCCTGCCCTCCCTGCCTGCCCTCCCTGCCTGCCCTCCCTGCCTGCCCTCCCTACCACCACCCAGCAGTCTCCCCACCACCACCCAATGATCTTGATTCTCCTCCTCATGCCTACATGCGTGCCAAGCTGTCCGCCCTGCCAAACCCACCCATGTTGTGTGCCTTCTCTACTTTCCACACTACACTCTGATGCTCTCGTGCCTCTGCTTCTGCCCCTGCTTCTGCCCCTGCTTCTGCCCCTGCTTCTGCCCCTGCTTCTGCCCCTGCTTCTGCCCCTGCTTCTGCCCCTGCTTCTGCCCCTGCTTCTGCCCCTGCTTCTGCCCCTTCTTCTGCCCCTTCTTCTGCCCCTTCTTCTGACCCTGCTTCTGCCCCTGCTTCTGCCCCTGCTTCTGCCCCTGCTTCTGCCCCTGCTTCTGCCCCTGCTTCTACCCCTGCTTCTGCCCCTGCTTCTGCCCCTGCTTCTGCCCCTGCTTCTGCCCTTGCTTCTGCCCCTGCTTCTGCCCCTGCTTCTGCCCCTGCTTCTGCCCCTGCTTCTGCCCCTGCTTCTGCTCCTGCTTCTGCCCCTCGCAGCTGGCTGGACAACAACAGCATCGAGGGCCCTCTGCCATCCGCCATCTGCTCGCTGCCCTGGCTGTGGCGCATGTGAGTGGCTGTGGCGCATGTGAGTGGCTGTGGCGCGTGTGACCGGCTGTGGCGCGTGTGAGCGGCTGTGGCGCATGTGAGCGGCTGTGGCGCATATGAGTGGCAAGTATATACTTCTTGGAGTGACACAGGGATGTTCAGGCATTGGTCCGGCCTGGCGGAACGTAGCATTTGAATGAATGCAAGCTGTGAGCAGTACACAGGCAAGGGTGTGGAGGGGGTGCTGGTATTGTGGTCAAGTACAAGCAAGCCCCGTGTGCATGAGGCACCCCTTGTGTGCCTGATTTCTACCAGAAGCAGCTGTTCGGAGCAGCAGCTCTGGTGGAATAGGAGAGGCTCGAGAAAGGCACGGGAAAGGCACGGCTGGGTCCCGTTGACAAGAGCGAGAGCCTTGCAACTTGCAAGCAGTGCTATTCTTGCTAGAACTGTATGCATGGAGGTGAGGTGACACGTGCACTATGTAAGACTGCCACACAAGCCAAATAGACAATTTGACGCTCGTGTGAGTTGCTTGACACCAACTATCGCAAGCAAGAAGCATGCCCATCCATCCAGGTGGCGCAAGTGTGCGCCACGTCTTATCTTGTATCTACTTATCTTACTTCTCTTGCTTGTCTTGGCTTATCTTGGCTTCTCGTCAAGTCCTTCAGTCGTTCAATGCGGTTCCGTATGGTGTGACTCGTGGTGGTGCATGAATGGCATGGCATGGCATGGCATGGCTTGGCATGGCATGGCATGGTATGGCATGTTATGGCATGGCGTGGCATGGCATGGCATGGCATGGCATGGGGCATGGGTTGTCATGCCAGCATGGTGAGCAACAACCATCTCTACGGGCCTCTGCCAGACTGCCTCTTCGACAAATGCATCAACCAGATGTGAGCCCACCTGCTTACTTCATCCATCCCCACAACCAAAGAGTGCTGCGAGGCATGCTGCTCACTGGTGCTGCGAGGCATGCTGCTCACTGGTGCTGCGAGGCATGCTGCTCACTGGTGCTGCGAGGCATGCTGCTCACTGCTGCTGCGAGGCATGCTGCTCACTGCTGCTGCGAGGCATGCTGCTCACTGGTGCTGCGAGGCATGCTGCTCACTGGTGCTGCGAGGCATGCTGCTCACTGGTGCTGCGAGGCATGCTGCTCACTGCTGCTGCGAGGCATGCTGCTCACTGGTGCTGCGAGGCATGCTGCTCACTGCTGCTGCGAGGCATGCTGCTCACTGGTGCTGCGAGGCATGCTGCTCACTGGTGCTGCGAGGCATGCTGCTCACTGGTGCTGCGAGGCATGCTGCTCACTGGTGCTGCGAGGCATGCTGCTCACTGGTGCTGCGAGGCATGCTGCTCACTGGTGCTGCGAGGCATGCTGCTCACTGGTGCTGCGAGGCATGCTGCTCACTGGTGCTGCGAGGCATGCTGCTCACTGGTGCTGCGAGGCATGCTGCTCACTGGTGCTGCGAGGCATGCTGCTCACTGCTGCTGCGAGGCATGCTGCTCACTGCTGCTGCGAGGCATGCTGCTCACTGGTGCTGCGAGGCATGCTGCTCACTGGTGCTGCGAGGCATGCTGCTCACTGGTGCTGCGAGGCATGCTGCTCACTGCTGCTGCGAGGCATGCTGCTCACTGCTGCTGCGAGGCATGCTGCTCACTGGTGCTGCGAGGCATGCTGCTCACTGGTGCTGCGAGGCATGCTGCTCACTGCTGCTGCGAGGCATGCTGCTCACTGGTGCTGCGAGGCATGCTGCTCACTGCTGCTGCGAGGCATGCTGCTCACTGGTGCTGCGAGGCATGCTGCTCACTGGTGCTGCGAGGCATGCTGCTCACTGGTGCTGCGAGGCATGCTGCTCACTGCTGCTGCGAGGCATGCTGCTCACTGGTGCTGCGAGGCATGCTGCTCACTGGTGCTGCGAGGCATGCTGCTCACTGGTGCTGCGAGGCATGCTGCTCACTGCTGCTGCGAGGCATGCTGCTCACTGGTGCTGCGAGGCATGCTGCTCACGGTCAGGTGCAAAGAGTGGTGAGTGGCATGCATTTGTCAGGTGGGGCTTTCAGCTCACTCTAGCAAACCATTCGTACCCGCGCGCCCGTCCTCTGTCCCACCTGCAGCGACGTGAGCAACAACAGCCTGTACGGGCGTGTGAGCCGCAACTTCAACAGCATGGTAGCAGACAGCGAGGCCCTCATCAACCTCGCACACAACTTCTTCTACGGAGAAGCCGTGCTCTTTGCCGCGGGCTGCCAGGTGTGCCCCGAGGAGATCACCCAGCGCAACCAGCTTCTGCTGGACGACAGCAGCGTGGGGGTGGCAGGGAGGTGCAGCAACACCTTTTCTGGCCAGCGAGACTACTCGGTGGTGGGGGCAGGCAAGGGCGCCAGGGGGAGTCTCGCAGGCAACTGTCTGACCCACAATCGGGACGTGAAGTGCCCGTCCAACGCCACTCAGCGCAGCAGGCGTTCTGCAGCATCACTGACAACGGCCCGTGTGACGGCCATGGCGCGTGCGTGCCGCCTGCACCGGCCGCCCAGGCCAACTTCACGTGCGCGTGCGATGGCGGGTACTCTCCAGTGGACGTGGGCAACGGCTCCACTTGCGCCATCGTCAATGCCACCACCACCAACTGTGAGGCACCCCCTCACACCTGCACAGCCCCCTCTGGAGCCCACGCTGTGCTCACTTCACATGTTCCCCCTGCAGGACTTCACATGGCACATCTCCGATTCCATCTCCTCCACTCCCCGCCTCTTTTCCCCCACTCCCCCTGCTCCCCCCGTGCCAGTGTCGTCGCTGTCAACAGGTGCCATCGTGGGCATTGCTGTGGGGTGCTTCGCCGGGTTCACTCTGCTCACCGCTGTGCTCGCCTGGCTACTGTGGCCCCGTGGACAGAGTAAGATCGCCAACAATGCTCCCATGTCATCCCTCCCGTTCCTGCACCTCTTTCCCGTCCGCCCTGCACCCCCACCCTGCCACCATTCCTGCACTACAGCCCACCCTACCTGCCGCCCCCACCTCTGCACTGCCCTTTCCCTACTCTGCCCACTCGCTCAAGCCCTTGCTGAATGCGTGTTGCTGCATGGCCTTGCACCACTCACCCCACCTCCCCGTGCTCTGTGGGTGCGTAGGGAAGTGGGAGGGGCTGGACCTGTGCGAGCAGTTCTCCCTGGAGCAGCTGGTGAAGGCTACGGACAACTGGGCGAGTGACAACGTGCTGGGGAAGGGCGGGTTTTGCACCGTGTACAAGGGGTGCTCGCCGCAGGGGCTGCTGTGGGCAGTGAAGCGCTCCACTGTCATGACCAACGACTTTGAGACCGAGGTCAGCCTCTGCCTTGCAGTGCTGTGACTGACTGTACCATGGCTCTTCTCTCGCCATGCAGCCACAGCACCGCGGCACTGCGGGTCCAATGTGCTCTTTGAACAGCTCAGCTGCTTCGGCTATAGTGGAAGCAAGCAAGCGCTGTCAGGCCCTGCAACTCGCGTTCTGTCTTCCCTTACCACTGTGTGCTGTGCGGCGCATGCAGGTGCGCACCATGGCAACGCTGCACCATGTGAATCTGGTGCGCCTGCTGGGCTTCTGCCAGGACCAGAACGTGGAGACGGGCAAGCAGGAGCAGATCCTCGTGTACGAGTTCGTGGCCAACCGAGACCTGCACCACCACATCTACAAGACAAAGAGTCAGTTGCCCTCAAGCCAACTCACCAAGTTGCTACCCATGTGCGCTTTAGCAAAGAATGTCAAAAGTTGCTAATATGCAAAAAACACACTTTATGTCTGCCTCTCGTGGTCTCGCTTCCAGGCCCTCTCTCGCTGCGCCAAAGGCTGCGCCTGGCGCAAGGAGCAGCGGAGGGCCTGGCGTACCTGCATGGGTTTGCGACGCCCATCATCCACCGCGACATCAAGCCCGCCAACATCCTCGTGACGGCCGACATGCACGCCAAGGTCGCGGACTTTGGGCTGCTCAAGCTGCTCACTCATGGCGATGCTGATGCCACCCGAGTGGCGGGCACGCCCGGCTATGTGGATCCAGACTACAACCGCTCCAACGTCATCACGGCCAAGAGCGATGTCTTCAGGTGCGCATAAGTTTGTTCCCTGGCACGGTTGCTTTGTGAGATGTCTCAATAATCACGCCCGGCTATGTGGATCCAGACTACAACCGCTCCAGCGTCATCACGGCCAAGAGCGATGCCTTCAGGTGCGCGTGGATGGACGGCGCTCTGCCAATCCACAACATACTGGAATACTGATGCCTTTGACGTGTCCGAAATATAGCTTTCGCAGGAATGTCTGTGCTGCTGATCGTCGTTTTCTCCAGCCATTTCCATGTCTCCCTGTGCGCCTGCTTGCAGCTTCGGCATTGTGCTCCTGGAGTTGCTGAGTGGAACGCCGCCCACCTTTCACCGTGCAACCCATATCAAGAGCTGGGTATGCCCATGCAAGATTCGATAGTGGCACTGCCCCTTGCACCACATTTTTTCTCTACCATGCTACATCGCACCTACCGTGCCGCCTTGCTCCTTTTTTTTTTACTGCACTACCTTGAGCCATTTCCTATTTTTTATGCCCGTTTGCTCCGCCATCGGTTCAGGCGCGGCAGAGGGTGGATGCGTATGAGTTTGACGAGCTCAAGGACAGCAAACTGGAGGCCAGTGAGGAGGCCGTGGTGGACTTTGCTGACCTGGCACTGGACTGCATTAAGGCGCCCGGCACACGCCGCCCCGACATGAAGGACGTGGCATACCGTCTCCGTGCCCTCATTGACAAGCACTGCCCTGACAAGGAGGAGGAGTGGGAGTGTGGTAGAGAAGAGAGTGTAAGCACCGGAGGGGAGTCGTTTGCCATGGCCTATTCTGCTGTTGGGAGCTCGTTGTTCAGCTCGTTTTTCGGCCCGATAGTGTCATGAGTTGGCTGGGGCTGAGGTTGTGTTCTGGTTACTGAGCCGTCACTTTTATGTGCATTGCACCCAGACGAGGGAATGTAGCACCCCTCAGAACACATGACATGACCACTTTTGATAATATACTGAATTCTCCCAGATACAAGCCCCGTAATTCATTTGCGCCGGGGCTTAACATGATTGAAAGAGGCGATAGAGGTGCAGGCCTATGTTAGGCACATGATTATATCTGCTCCTAGATTTGTGTGCAAGGTACGGTTTTCAGTTTTTTTTTATAACTGCTTTTATAAATCGTGATTTCATTTTACTCAAGAATAAGAGAACACAAAGAATCTCATTCACTAAATTGCATGCATGGAGATTGGGAAGTTCCTAAAGCTACCTGAAAATTGCATAACCTGCAATCTACTCAGTGGTGGCAGTAGCATAATCATCTGACTCGGGCTCGGTAACCAGGCCTCTGGATATCAGGGTGATTCACCCTTATGACACTTAATATAAGGCCGGGTTTGACTGTGCAGTGCACCCTTTTTTATCAGACTGGTTTTGTTTTAGACCCTTACGAAAAAAAGTGCTTGGTTACAACATGACACTGATATTTCAGAGCTATATGGTGTAGTAGCACTAATGAAATCGAGCTCGATCTAAGAGAGGATAGTAGGATTGGTCGCGTAAAACATGATCTCCGCATCAGATGCCAGCGCCAGGTATCGAACTTCGGCCCTCCACCTAACTACGACGACTCACACACTGCAACCAGGGCTGGAGAAGCAAGGCCATTTGGCCTTAATGCCCTGAACATTCAGAGTAACGCTTGGAGCAGCTCGACCGTTTAAAGTGCTAGAATGGCATGGCACCCGTGACAGTTAAGGGCCTTGTTTGGGCCTTCCCCTGAATCCAAGTTGTTGGAATAATCGAAAGGTTATCGTAACATTCTAGAAGGCTCTCCACTCGCGCGTCACTCCATAACGAAGCAACGTGCCTGTATCAGTATCGCAATAGCTCATATAGAGCATGCGGAAGGTCGAGGGTCACCCGAAGGTCAACAGTTGAAGACAGTCAACGGACGTGACCCTTGGTACTTGGTAGTTACGCGATGCAACATGGTAACTGTCAAGAATAACAATAGTGGTGGTTATTGTAGCAATGTAATTCAGTTAATAAGGGAATGTACCCCTCAGATTACATGGCTAGCTAGGATTGCTATTTATATCCCTGTACTCCTATCTTATAATCATCTTGTTCTCTTTCAACTTATTAACAAGGTCATTACAGAGACTTCATTGTCTTCTCTCAACCTTAACAGACTTATCCTATTCACTACGATCCTCCAGTTATAACAACATGGTATGAGAGCACGAGTGGATTATAAGGCCTGTTAAGCTCTTGTTCTTTCTAGAACAACCTATTTAACAATAACTTGTTAAACTATTACAAACTCTGCATCACTATGGCTCCCGAAGGAAAAGCCACTGCAGATTCTCCGGGCCCACCACCAGCAACGCCTACTGCACCATCAGCGGTGACCTCCGTCAGCGCCGCTCTCGTCGAGCAGCTTGTCGCTCGCATCAATGCTCTTGAGAGCCATCAAGCTATGAGCATCGATGGCTCAAGCTACGCACGTGGAGTTGCTGGACTCCCTCTCCCTGGAGAAGACCGCCGCGTCAACTCCGAGAGGTCATTTACCGTTGACAACCGTCAAGCTTCAGCTACTGCGCAAGACAGTCAACATCGCACACAGTCAGAAACAATCGCGACAATGCAAACAAAGTTCGTTCTGACTTCAAAGCTGAAGACATCAGTTCCCTTCGACGGCAAGGACTTCTACACGTGGAGCTTCGAGTTCGAGCTTCTCGCGACAACTGCGCAAATCTGGATGTACTACGATGGAAGCTTACCATTTGTGACGGAAGGCACCATCCAAGAGAAGAACCAGTACTACCATGAGTCTCTTCTCGCATACACCACTCTTCTCCGAAACCTCTCCCCTTCCGAGAAGCTTGGCATTCGCTCCTACAAGTCAGAGTGGCCGCCCGCGTACGCTTCTTGGGAGCACTTGCGCAACTCATACATGGCAACAGATCCCGTTACAATGAGTCGCCTACTCAGCCAACTTACATCGGTTAAAATGCAACAAGGGGAGAAAGCGGGACCGTATATCAATCGATGCCGCAATCTACGCGACCACTTTAAGAAGTGCGGCGGAATTGTTCCCGACGACATGTTCGTCTCCATGGTTCTTTCCGGTCTTGGATCCGACTGGCGACAGTGCCAATCGTTGCTCCGTGCTCGAGCAACCATCTCCGATTCCGCTTTGTGCGCCACGCTTCTCTCCGAGCAGAAGGAGATTGATCTGTACAATGAGAAAAACATCAAGAGGGAGAAGTTAGTCTTCTATGCTGGAGAGACTGAAGGGGAGCAGCACGGCAAGAAAGGAACTTTCTGCAAATACTGCAAGAAGCCCGGACACACTATCGATCGGTGCTACAAGCGTAAGGCAGCTGACGAAAAGCGCAACAACTCCTCCAGTCAGCAGTCTTCAGCACCCTCGGCTTCTCCTGCTGCAACATCAACCGTGTCACCGCCTTCCGTCGCGAGCACTTCCCAAACTCCTGTGCGCATCACGGTCAAGGACAAGGGAAAGGGGTCAGTCATGAGCTGCATGGCGCGCCGTCTCAGAGGCATCCGATACTACGACGACAAAACATTTCCACCTATCGCGCCCATTAACCCCATTATGCCCAGTCCATACAACGATCGCACCATTCACAGGTGGATTGATCGTCCAAGCAACATCCCACCTGATTTGGAGTTGCCTCCGCCAACCTCGGAGTCTCCCACCAGCATTTCTGAAAGGTATATCTCGATCTCTCGCCATACACCGGGGACTTCGACCGCATCATCACTCCGAAGATAGCCGGAATCGCGCGACGTAACCACGAAAAATACAACACATGGTATCTCGACAACTCCTGCGGGCAACACATGGTGGGATCACCAAAGTTCATTAGCGACTCAAGACGTATGCGGCGATCATGCGAAATTACCGTCGCCAACAACAATCGTCTCAAGGCCTACAAAATCGGAGAAATCTACCTTGAGGCCCACTTCACCATCCACATCGGAGATGGGCTGGTCGTTCCTGATCTGCAATACAATATTCTCTCTTCGGCGCAGCTCATGAGGTGCGGAGTCGATATTCGGAGCAACTGCGAAGACAATACCTTCGAACTGTTCTACAAAAACACCTACATCGGCAAGGCTGTCAACGATGACATAGTCTTTGTCTTAAACTTCACGGCGGAAGGGACGACAGCGACTCCGAACGGACTTTGCTCCTCAAGACAACTCCCACCAAAGCACCATCTTGGTCACATCTTGATGAGATGGACCTCGAGCGTCCTGCCTCGGATGGACTTCTCTGTCTACGCGCCTTCCCACCCGCCTCTACCTCAAATCAAGGTGACATCGGACCTGCAACAATGGAGGAAATCGAAAATAACGAAGGGTCAGCAACTGCAGAAGCTGACACCGGAGGATGGGGAACTACTCCAACTGCAGGAACTGGCTGGGGAACCCCTGGTCCCACAATCGGGCCGTGGGGAAATATTGAACCACCCCCAACTACACCCGGAGGCGGCTGGGATGCCAACGAAGCGACAGAAGAAGCAGCGGAGGGAACCACCGAAGCAGGCTCAGGCGGTGCCGAAACAACGGGAGGACCGACATCAGCACCGACGAGCATCCCGGCACAAGGAGGCTGGGGAACCGCTAACGCTCCAACGAATGGGGTTACCCAGAAGCTCCAGGTCTTCCACCTGAACCCGTTGCCGAGCTCGATCCCTACTGGGCAACGCGCGGCACCAGCTGGGGCGGACCTCCCCTTCCGGACCAATACGCTCCTGACACACCAGAACACGTGCAAGAGGAGTCAGAAGAAGAAGTGACCTACGAGTTCTTCAGCAAAGCAGCGGAACTACCCGAACCTACCGAGGAAGCGCCGCCGCCAGAACAAGGACCTCAGCTGATCTCGGTCACCAGCGGAGAGTACCTTTACCATCGCGTTCCGATGGAAGGACTTCCCGCATCTGAATGGCCCGAAGCAGCGTCCTTCCCGCAACCCGCTCATCACCGGCGACGCCGTACACTCTGGCGATACTGACAACATCGCCAAGTTCCCGAAAGAGGTCGTGGAGCACCTCTCCGATCGAGCCTTTGCAGCAGACGCCGACGCCGCCGACAAAGGTCCTGAAAAGAAGCAGAACGACGAAGCGGAAAGACACAAATATTATCAAAAGACTGTTGGATATCGTGCGCAACCAGAAACATGGCACCAGCAACTCGGACACCCCTCGCACACCACGCTCAAGGATTCCCTCAACGCCGGAGACTTTGACGACGACGCGCTGCTTCTTCCTCGAGGAGGCTCTCTCACAGCAGAATCGGCTGACCCGCCATGCACCATGCGTCCAACTGCGTCACTCGCCCACAAACCCTTCCCACAAACGCTACAAGCCGCTAGATAAGGTCTACATGGACTTCATGGTTCTAAGCCAAGAAGGGCTCGACGGCGAATATTACACTCTTTACCTTCATCGACACATGCACATGCTACGTATGGGCCATCAACACCGACTGCCGCTCTCTTGCCTTCGAGTGCTTCGTGGCCTGGATGAAGAGGGCCGAACGTCAGTCTAGACTGAAGCTGAAAACCTACCAGACAGACGGGGGTTTGGAGTTCTTCTCAAGTGAGTTCAAGGAACTCTTCAAGCAGAAGGGGATTGAGCACCTGGTGTCCCTGCCCTACCTCACGAGCCGCAAGGAGTAGCAGAACGGGCAAACAGGACCCTAGGCACCAGGATGAGGGCCCTGATAAAGCAATCGGCCGTCCCAACCAAGTACTGGCCATTTGCGATGAACCACGCTGTCCGGCTGCACAACTTGTTGTCGTTCCGAAGCCTCGAGAACAACAACTCTCCCTAAAGAGCTTGGACGGGCAGAAAGAC